GAAATGGTCCACATAGAGAAGCTTAGGCTATCTCTAACCGAGGGCTGGCCAGATGGCTCGTTTTAGCCATCTGGCCCTCCAAGATTCCCCAAGATATTAATATTTTAATGAACAGTATAGGGCCATATTTGCCTCCGTCTCCAATCGAGGGCCAGAGGGCTCGTTTTAACCCTGTCACAAAAAACCTTCTCCAACCGAGGGCCAAAGGGTTATAGGGCCAAACATAATTTATTATTTAAATTTAAAAACTACAACAACTTAAATTTAAAAACAACAACTTATATTTAAAAACTACAAATTAAATTTAAAAACAACATTAACTTAAATTTAAAAATTACAACGACTTAAATTTAATATCCATAATCAACATCATCTTCATCATCCGCCATTGTAGGAGTATAGTCAGAGGTAAACAATTGGTGCCGCTTTCATGTCTACTTGCTGTTGCTAATAGTGTTTGATGCCATTTATTCAAACTTGGATGAAGATGTTTCTTCCATTTTGAAGAACAACTTTTGTGGTTTCGGGTATTCGGTGGAATTGTGCCTTCATAGAACTCTAAGTATTTTTTGGACACACGAGTCCAAACACCTTCACTTGTTTGAGAAATCCCCCTCACACTATCTTCTGAGACCCATCTATAAGCCTTGCAAAGAGCTTCATCTTCTTTTCGGGTCCAAGCCCTACCTTTCATTGCAAATGAGGCCATTTTTTTTGAAAAAAATGAAGGAAATATTGAAGGAAATTATTGAAAAAATATTGAAGGAAATTATTGAAAAATTGAAAATATTATAGATGAAGGAAATATTGCAAATGAAGTGAAGAAATATTATAGATGAAGGAAATATTGAAAAATTGAAACAAATATTATAGATGAAGGAAATTATTGAAAAAATATTGAAGGAAATTATTGAAAATTTGAAACAAATATTATAGATGAAGGAAATATTGGAAAATATATTGAAGGAAATATTGAGAAATATATTGAAGGAAATATTGAAAAATATTGAAGAATGAAATATTGAAAAATATTGAAGAAGGAAATATTGCAAATGAAGTGAAGAATTGAAAGAACTTCACCATATTTATAGAAGAAAAGAAATGTTTAAAATTAAAAAAAAAAAAACCTAACGGCTAGCTGAGTCAGCTAGCCGTTATATTAAAAAAAATTACTATTAATGTCGGTTATAACCAACACTAATAGTAAAACTATATAAAAAAAAAGAATTTCTCTTTAATGCTGTCGGTTATAACCGACAGCAATAGAAAAACTATAAAAAAAAAATAGCTAGCCAGCCCTTTGAAATTCCGTGGGGCCCTCCCAGATTCCCGAGCCCTCTGGCCTAGCCCTCGGTTGAAGACGGTTTTAGGGCTATTTTCGGCCCTCTGGCCCTCTGGACCATTCGGTTGGAGATGGCCTTATAGAAATCAGCCTAACGAGAAGCAAGCGCAACTTTGTGATCGACCGTCTCATTCAGCTTCACATTCTCCTTAGCAAGCCCAATGTGAGCATCATGCAACTTATCCAGTTTCTTCTTCAGGATTTCGCTAGTAAACAGCGCACCTTTCAGATCCACTTCCTTGGACTCAAGCTTACTGGCAACATCCTTAAGACGAGACACTTCACAAACAAGGTCCTCGTCCTTGGCAAAACAAGCATATGGTAGCTCTGAATTGAAATGCCCAAGGTCTTAAACCACTGATACAACCCGACTGACTTCCTTCTTTGCAACTTCCAACATCGCTTGAGTCACACTAAGCTTCGCTTCCAAATCAACAACCTCCTGATGAACACTCTCCAGCTACACAGAAGTGGGGGCAGAGACATCAGACCTCTTCAAAACGGTAAGTTCATATTTGAGTTTCTTAATCTTTTCAGCAGACGAGTGAAACTGAGCCATCAGTGCTAGTTCAACCTTCTTAGCATAGTTGACAACATCATGATCAATGTACATAGACTTATCTACCAGGATCAAAGTCTTCTGCATTGTGGCAAGCAAGGATGATATCCTTGGGAAGGCAGGACGCTTTGCAAAAGAGTTTGAGTGGATGACCTTCCCAACACTATCAACAAACTTGGCCCATGCATCGATGTCCTCAAGCAGGTTAGCCTTCAGCAGTGCAGAAACCTCGGGAAACTCCTCAGAACCAAACTCAGTGAATTTCTCACAACTGCCCATGCGAGCAAACTTCTCTTTCTTAGAAGACAAATTAGTTGAAGCAGAATGAGGAACATGCTTAAATGCCACCTTAGCATAGAATCCACCTTCCGGGTCTTCATAGTGAGGCGAGCTTCTCAAAAGTTGAACCAAACTTACCTCCAAATGGGCGCTTCGATACAAACTCAGACACTGGGGCATCACCGAACCTTTTCGCTGGGCAATCATTTCAACAACGGTTATGGCCACCTTTAGGGTAGTAGGTTCACAAGCTCATACCCAACAATTTTTTTCTTCCCCTTGGGAGAAGTCAGATCAATGACAAGCTTTCAGCAGCATATGCCAGGCCCTATGACATGGTCCCTTTTCTCTCCAACTGACGCTTGACCCACATAGGCCTCTGCCCACATCTCTCTCTCCTTAGCGACATGGGTCTGTGCTCAGCCTGCCAAGCACAGCACCTTGCGCCCAAGCCATGGCCCTAGCCACTCAATTCATGGCCTTGGAAGCCTAGCCCGCGGCCCAAGTCACAAGAAAGAAAAATGGTGCCTCGTGCCTCTTTCTCTCACATCCTCCACGGTATAGCAGACCCGAGCCTGCCTCATCATACTTGGCTCCTGCCAAGCCTAAATCTAGAAGAGCTAGAGACTTGTGACTCACCCAGCTTCGCGCTCAATGCGTTATTCACCTCGCCCACTCATGGTTGACCACGACTTTCGTCCCCTATTTCACCAGAGTGCTCGTGTTCCTAGCTTTTTTTATTTGAAGAGTGGTTTATGTTCTTGCCTTATTCAACTGCTTGGAAGAGCTGACCACCTCTCACAGTCAGTTCTTCAATGTCTCTAAGCCATCCCATTGTGGGTTGTGGCCTCGTCGCACCTCTTACACCGGTCATACTCGTTGAAATGAGATATGTAGTCCCTTAGGGATTCACTCGAACCCTGTTTTACTGAAGCCAAACTGGTCGGGGTGTACTACCTTTTGGTTATGACCATGTAGTGGTATAGAAAGGGTTGTTTGAGCTCAAAGAATGAAGTGATTGTCCATGGGGTAAGCAGCTTGTACCAATCCCTTGCTTTCTCTCTCAAGTTGGTCGGGAATAGGCGACACTAAGTTTCCTCCTTATTTCCCTTTCTTTTGATCACACAGATAAAACCGTCAAGGTGGTTATAGGGAAGGTTTGGTTTCATTCGGTTCAATTTTTTGCCAAAATCGAAACCGAACGAAAATTTAGGTTCGGTTCGATTTTCTTTTAGTTTTTTTTTTCGGTTTGATTTTTTTTCGTTTGGTTTTGGATTGGTTTTAGTTTTTCTTTATTTTATAAAACCTTATATTATTTTTAATATGAAATTTAGAAAAGAGGGTTGCGTTGGTAAAGGAACTCTTCCAAGTTCCAAAGCAAAAGCAAGCCCATCATTTGTATACTCAATATAAATGGTCTTCTCAGAAGCCGCCTTCCAAAATCCTCTATAACCAATGGCATAACCTCCCTAATTGAACCAAGTATGCTCCTTGAAAAAGTCCTAGATTAGTTTCAAACTTGGCAACAAAGTTTCACAAAAGAAACATCATAGGCATACATTCATAAAGTGTAAAGGGATTTGGTTCGTTTCGGTTTCCAAACCTCCAAAACCAAAACCGAACCAATAAAGTTTGGTTTGGTTTGGTTTTTTCTTTTTTAATTTGGTCTTTTTTTAGATTTTGGTTTTTCCGTTTTGGTTAGGTGTTCAGTCCCTTTTTTTTTTCGATTTTCAGTTTTTTGAACCCACCCATAGGTTATAGGGATATGTGAGTCCCTCGTTGCTCTGAACCTTCAAGGCTTTGGTGTTTCCACTTATTGGCTTGGATATTAAGGTTGTGGAGAAAAGAAGAGAGACTTCTTCCTCTGAGTGGTCGAGACTCCTCAGTCGGGAAGCCTTCTCGACATCCTCAATCGATCCCGAATGCTCTTCATGCCTTAGGCTCATCATCTCTTTCAAGGTGGTCCTTAAATCAGGGCGCTAGGCTGAAACCTTAGTCTTTGGCGCGACCGCCGAACTTCGTTTTCTTGAGCGTCCTCTTCAGCACAATGCCGACTTCCGACTTATGACCTCGGGAGCATCCTCGCCACCGTCGTTGTTGAAGTCCAATTAGATGTGAGGATGGCTGGTGAATGATGCAGGTCATGCAATGGGTAGCCTCCAAGTTGGTTCTCATTTCTTTGAGGGATTCTTTTTATCCTCTCTTTGGTCTGGGTGACCTGCTATAGGAGGTCGGCATGCTTTTTCTGGAGTATAGAATTATGGGTCAGGGTCCTGCCAACTGTCATAGGTGGTTAGAAAGTGCTTTAGATTTTACTCTCGTTCCTTCTTGTCGGTAAACAATACAAAGTGTCGAGCGGTCGTCGATAGTGGTCGTGGCAGAGCTTTGTCTAGTGGATTCCTTCAGCTGATTTGCAGGCTCAAGCTCTTTATCTTCTCACCCCTTTGTGGGCCTCTAAGCCCATTTTTAAGTTCAAAACAACTATATGTTATTTTCATAGGTCTAAAGCAACTAGGTGTTCATGATAACTTTAATAGGTCAAAAACAACAATGCATTGAAATGTGATCTTTTTAAGAGGTACTCGACTCACTCCACCACAATGCACAGTATAAACCTTGCATGCACAGTACAATCGGTAAAGAACAATCTGATGTGGGAGTCTAAAACTTAAAAGTAGAAGCAGGGTGACCAATAAGACTGAAGTAAACGACCGATCAGATGGAGAAAAAGTCACGAGGCAATGCTTCCAGACTAAATGGACTATTCAAAGAAATCTTGATATTTAGTCAAAACTGCTTCAAAATTTAAATTCTTCATACATGTTCAGAGGTAGAGATGTACCTATTCACTTCACAACATGTTTGAATATTTGAATATCAATTCAAATTGAACAGACATGTTCTTTAGGAAGTAGCACTCGTTATGAAGGGGGTGTAAGCCAAGGGTCAAACCAATTCAAAAGGAATATAAGAACTCTCGCAATAGAGGACAAATTAAATGTTATATAAGCTCCCATACATAGATCTCTTACCTTGAATCGGCGGCCATACAAATCGAAACAAACCTACAGTGACAGAGTAAAAAGAAGAAAAATACAACATTAGGGCCCACACCTGTTGATTTTAAATTAGAATTTCACACTTGTTGTTTCCTTGTCTAACATATTTTGCCATCTCCAACGGAGAGGGTTGTGCCAGTTTTGAATCTCTGTGTTTTTTTAATAAATTGTTTATACTATACTTTGAAAATAATCAGTTGTCAAAATAAAATAGTTGATGATTTGATATACTGCATTTTTAAAAGTGTTATAAGTCTGAAAAGTAGTGTAAAGGCAATGCAGAGAAGGATAAATAATGTAAAATTACCAATCTACCCTTCAACATTAACTCCATACAGATGATAATTCAGGGACCAAATTGACAGTTCATCCTAAAATTAATGAGCTTATTATAGGAATTAAAAATATTCTAAAGGCTCAACTTTGTTTTTTATTAAAGCAATTTTGAAAGTCAATGTACATGCTGCTTTTAAAAGCTGTTTTCTTTTGTGAAAAAGGCAACCAAAATGCGCCTAAAGGTTCAAAAACTAAAAAATGACATGTTGGCCAAATGTAGCTCCCTCCGTAGCCTTTTTTTTTGTGCCCAGCTCCTTAATTGCAATAATTGAATTTAAAGTGTAAGCTTAAAACTAATAAATTATTGAGGGGCTATGTTTAGTCAATTATGTTGGAGATGATATATTACTATAACCTGACATTATGTATTTAAAAATAATTTCTTGCAGAGCTATTTTAAACAAGAATATATTTAGTTCTTGGAGATGGCCAAAGAGGGGAGAAATTTTTCCATGTACCCGTCACATATGCTGACTTGGAGTTCCCCACTAATAAGCATCTAACACCTATCTTCCTACTTCTTAACTGACATTAAAATACCCATTTTACCCTGATATTCATTTCACTAAATAATTAAATAATTAAAAAAAATTTGAAGGCCAAATTTCATCTGCCGTCGACCCCACAATCTCCAATCCCTAATCTCCATCGCCCATCGCCCATCCCCCATCCCCCATCCCTCCACGGCTCAACCCATCCCGCCTTTCCGCATCACCTCTCTCCCTATCGCTTTCTCTCTCTCTCTCTCTTTCTTCCCCTTTTTATTTATTCTATTTCCTACTCCAAGGTAAGAACAAAGAGGATGTCGGTGAACTTCGGCTGATAGATCGAGATTGACGACAGCAGATCTGAGTTGGAGTCGCCGCCGACAATCTCTGGGTTCCATGTAGATGTAAGAGTGGGAGAGAGAGAGGGGAAGGAAAGAAAGAGAAAGTCGAACAGAGAGAAGGGATGATGATGCTAGAAAAATTGCTGACCGGTGATGGAGGTGGGTACTGGTGGTTCGGCGTCGTCATGCTCATGAGACTCTGATATCATTTTGAGTTTATTTTAAAATAATTGTCATTTTTTTAATTTAAAAGAATAAAATATACAGATGTCAAATGTTTATTAGTGGAATTTCGGTCAGCATATGTGACAGGTACTTGAAAAAATTTCTCCAAAGAGAGACAAAGGATGACCATGGCCCTGCAATTTTATTTTTTATTTTATTTATTTTATAGAAATAAATTTCCTACAAGAGATGATAATGAAGTAGAAGGAAAAATTGAGCTTTATTCACTACTCACCTGGAACGCTGTGCGGATAACACTTGTGATTGTAGCTCCATTGGCCTCCGCAGATAAAGTAATTCGAAAGGGTATATTCAAGCTCAAATCCATATACCAGAGAATTGTGTATGGATTTATAAGAAGCGTTGTAGCCGTCGAACAAGTAGGCATAAGTCCTTCGCTCTATGCTGCAACCGTCCTTCATCTGCCCTACTTCTAAATATCCAATCTTGACATAGCCATACGATTTTGGTTGGGATGACGACATCGACGAAGATGAATTAGAAGTAGATTCAACAGGAAAACATGGAGCAGCGTCCACGTAAAGAGATGAATTCATTGGACTCGGGCACTTTAAAAATGTTAAATTTGTTGTTCCAATTTCCGTACATATCGCTGATGAATATGTTGATGATGGTGCACAATTTGTAAGCATCGGATCCGGAATTCGGTAATAAACATCATCTGGATAGTTGTACCCAGAAGAAAGAGCCAAAGAATGAAGAGGAAGGGAGGAGCAATTGCTCTTGTCAAGGCCCGGATCAACAACTCGGATTGTTTGGTTATGGTAGTTGATTGCCTGTACGTAGTAATCGCCAGATAAACGTATGTTTAGTATGGTTTTGTTGTTCTCACAAGACAGAGTGTATCCTGAGTCGCCGCAGTGGCGCGGATCACCCTTTAGTCGAAAAGGGTAGCTTATATTGCGGATATGACCGCAGGAAGAAGGGGTACACTTTTGCCGGGTGGCGTTACAAATGGTTTGAGGGGATAAGCTAAAAACAATAAAAGCTGCAATTAAAAACCGCATAGACAAGGAGGAGGAGGAGGAGGAGGAGGAGGACCTTCCACTTATTCCCATGGAGAAAAATATCAGCGAGGTTTGACACAGAAAGTGCGTAACAATACAAAGAATTTATATATAAGCACAAGAAAAGATTTAACACATGTATGAGATTGAAAGTGGCAGGTAAACAGGAATGACTCTACAACGGAAAGAGTTTCCGCTGTGAAATTAAAAGTATTGACCAAAACAGTAAATACTTTCTAGGCTTCCGTGACGTGGTCTTTGGGGTTAACCCGTAGATCAATTGCATTTTTATGGTCAGGAACTCTACAAAGTCTTTGTGTTAAACTATTAACATATATTTGTTCTTCTCCTTGGAAAAAAAAATACCTCAGAAATGCAGCAGCAACAGCTCAATATCTCTTGGGTTCGCATATTCTCAATTACTTTGTTAACATTGCTCGGAACAACCCAGAATGCCTCTGCTTGTGAAAAATCCAAATGCGGGGATCATGGCGAGGCCATCCATATTCTGTTTCGCCGTGGACATCCCTGTAGTCCGACATCTGATTGCCATGCAAATGAGGATGACTACGGACAGGAGCACCGAGTGGTAGTGGTGAAATTCTTGGTGAAACGCATAGATTACAAGCATCAGGAAGTCCAAGTCTATCAACCGCGTAATTGCCTGCTGTTAAAGCCTTCAGAAGTTGATAACATCAACATCTCATTGCCAGCCTCTCAATTCTACCTCCAAGAATCCATGCCTTCCAACGCTACCTTATTCCACTGCCCTGCTGAAAGAGAGTTAAACGGTGCTAAAGTCCCCTGCATTAGTGGCCCTGGCTACAGAGTTTATGCCATTGAATCTTCCTACGAAACTATGGACTATCCGCTCCTAGAGTCGTGTACAAAGATGTACGATGTTTTGGCGATTCCACAGATGTACTATTATGGTCTTGAGGATACTAATTTGAAATGGAAGAAACCAAATTGTACAGAGTGTGAGGCAGAGGGCAAAAAGTGTAGAATCAAGTACAATCACACCAACACTGAAATTCAATGTGTTCGCTTGAGCAAAGCTAGTAAGTCTGCCTATATTTTCAATCTTGGTCTTATTTTACATATATTCTGCTATATTATTGCACTTGCTGCTTACTTATCTAGTAAGCATCCCACTGAACATATTTCAAATAACTAGATGCAACGCATTTGATATGAATTTCAAATGGCTAGGCAAAGAGTAATTTGTTTTCTTCTATTACTAAATTTGTCCGAGCAGTAGATCATCACTATTACTAAATTTGTCAATGCTTTTTTCAGGTGTAACAAGGAAATTTGCAGCCGTAGGTGAGTAGTCTGACTGTTTTTTATTTTATTTCATGTCTAGCTGGACCGTCGGGAATACTATTATTTACTCAAGGATTTGTTTGATTTGCAGGTACAACCCTGGGATCATTTGTTGTGTTACTACTGGTCGTTGCAGCCTATCGTGTCTATAGGTCTAATCGAAAAGAAAAGGAGAGTCAATTGAAGATTGAAACGTTTTTAGAAGATTACAAAGCTCACAAACCAAGCAGGTATTCCTATGCAGATATTAAGAGGATCACAAACCAATTCCAGGACAAGTTAGGCCAAGGAGCCTATGGAACGGTTTTCAAAGGAAAACTTTCTTCTGAATGCTTCGTTGCTGTTAAAGTTCTCAATAGTTCCAACGGAAATGGGGAAGATTTCATAAAGGAAGTTGGAATGATGGGAAGTATCCCCATGTCAACGTGGTTCGTTTGGTTGGTTTCTGTGCTGATGGGTTTAACAGAGCTCTCGTTTATGAGTTCTTCGCCAATGGTTCACTGCACGATTTCATTTCATCGGCAGACAATAACAATCGTTTCCTTGGTTGGGACAAGTTGCAAGATATTGCTCTTGCTGTAGCCAAGGGAATTTATTATCTTCATCAGGAATGTGAGCAACGAATCCTTCATTTCGACATCAAGCCTCATAATGTTTTATTAGACAACAATTTCACTCCAAAAATTTCTGATTTTGGTTTGGCCAAGTTGTGTTCTAAGGATCAAAGCATAGTGTCCATGACTACAGCTAGAGGGACTATGGGCTACATTGCACCTGAAGTGTTCTCCAGGAACTTTGGAAATGTGTCCTATAAGTCGGACGTCTATAGTTTTGGAATGCTGCTGCTTGAGATGGTAGGGGGAAAGAAGAATATTGATTCAACCTCAGCAATCCCAACTGAAATTTACTATCCAGAATGGATCTATAATCTTCTAGAAGAAGGAGACGACCTACGGATCCATCTTGGGGAGGAAGGAGATGGTAGAACTCCAAAGAAACTCGCAATTGTAGGGCTCTGGTGCATCCAGTGGCACCCAGCAGGTCGTCCTTCCATGAAAGAAGTTGTTCAAATGCTGGAAGGAGGAGAAATCTTAACCATGCCTCCCAATCCTTTTGCATCTACAAGTCCTGCACGAACAAATGCAGCTACACCTGCAAGAAATCTAAACAGTCAGTTAGAAGCTATTGCTGAATTAGAGTAACATATCTACTTAGATATATAGATAGATATGTGTGCACACACTTATTTATGTTACTATGTTACTAAGGACTCCTGAGAAGTGTAACCATTGTACCTAAGTACCATATGTGCTCGATAGCTTGAGGTCTTTGTCTGACTACGTAAGTACATTCGAGGTTTGTTGGATTGCTTGGTTTTTCACTTGAAACTGAAACCAATGGCTGGCCAATTTGTATCACTTTTCCACAGAACTTCTATGCAAAACTCTTTCCTCAAGTTTTTACACCACAGTTCTTAACTAGCTTCGATAGACATATTATTGTCATGCCTGCTTAGTTATGATCCTTCAAAGTTTCTAGGTTCTCAGTTTCCCATTCAAATCGATATGTTTTGTAACTTTTTAATTTTTTATCAGTACTTTTACATACTGAGAGCGATAATTATGCGACTTGGTGAGAGTGGAATGATGAATTATTAGTGAGAATTCACTTTTTCTTGAACAATAATCACTTTAGGATGAGGTACATTACCAACTAGAGAGATTGATCAAGTCACCATCTCTTCCAAAATGTTGAAATAGGTTTCAAGTTTAATCCGTATCTCAACCAAAATCAATAAGATATTGTTGATTACACATTGATATATATATATGAGGAAATAAATAAACTACTAGAAATGAAAGTATTGGCTTATTCTGATTATTAAGATTTTTTTTTTTAACTCATTGAACCTTGAGTATAAACTTTTCTCCTTTTTTATTATAGATTACCCTAGAATATCGCTTATAATTAAAAGAAGAATAAAAAAAAACAAAAAAAATGGAAACCATTGAATTTTGTTCAAAGTCTAGATCTTAGTTCTTCTATAGCTTTCCATGAGGTTTAGCTCCAAAGTCCAACCATTGACCTGCAAGGCGCACGGCCATCATTGTTGACCCCATAAAGTATGCATGTCAATATATAAAAAAATAAATCAGTCAATTCCTTTCTTTTTCAATTAAATAACTTAATTTCTAATAGACTCGAGTTTGTTGACTAGTACAAGGCAAATAATTCCGCCGCTTGCCTAAAGCGCATGTGGCACAATCAGCCTTACACTTATATGAGTTCTACATTTGACCCATGAGCAAATTTGTCGTTTCATCTAAAGTTATCTTGTTTTGTCTACAACAATATTGAACTCTATAAGCAAATTTATTGTTTCGTCTAGTTATATATATTTACACATTAGTCATTTAAAAGAGTGTTACAACGTTAGTCACGTAAATAGGTGATGTAGAAACAAAAAAAATATCATTCAGATTATTGATGCTAAAATAAGATGTAGTTCAACTATATCATCATATGATTCCCTCTCGAATGTTTCGTTCTCAAATGCCAAGAGAAATGATGATTACACGCGTGTCATTATTAGAGATTGTTAACAGACAATATTTATCGGGTATTATTATTAACATTCCAAAAATATTATTTGGCACTTCAAATTTCCTATAATTATAAAAAAAAAAATACATTTATAAAGAATATAAAATAAAAATTTTAAAATACTAATAACAATTTCCTATTTATATAGTGATTTTATATGTTTGTGTGAGATTTGACTTCTCAATAAAACTTTGAGACACTTCAACACGCTAGCAGAAAAATAAATACAACACTTTTAAGCCACTCTTGGACACTTGTGCAACGCTCCACATGGCGTGCTGTTGACTTTGACTTACAGCCACTTTACGAACACACGTAGGACATTGTCAGAAAAACACGCCAGTTGTAATTGTGAAATTAAATTAAAATTTTAGGGTAAAATTGAAATATGAAAAAATTGTTTTAGGGGTAATATGAAAAACGGATTTAGAGGAAAAGGTAATATTACATTTTGTTTGGATGAGGAAATTTCATATTACTAAGGAATTTTAAATGAAATTTTAATTTTTTAGAATTTGTAAATTTTCTTATTTGGTTAATTTAAAAAAATAAGGGAATTTAAATAAGATTTTTTTTTTAAACTCTCACTCATAGAAATTTAGAAATGACACATATTTACATGAAATTTAAACTTGGTGATTGGAGGTCTCAAATTGTTACGTAACAATTTATAAATTCTGATGTTTTTCAATTTATATTGTTGCCATGCTTGCTTAGTTATGATCTTCAAAGTTTCTGAGTTCACAGTTTCCCATTCAAATCGATGTTTTATAACATTCTTCTTCTTTATTATCCAATACTTTTGCATATCGAGGGCGATAATTGCGCGACATGGTGAGATTGAAATAATGAATTATTAGTGAGAATTTCTTGAACAATAATCACTTTAGGTTGAGTTACTTACCAACTAGAGCGATCGGTCTAGTCACATCTCTTCCAGAATGTTGAAATACTCCTCAAAGCTTAATGCATTCCGCACCAAAATCAAACAAGATAATGGTGATTACATATTGATTTATATGAGAAAATAAACAAACTACTATAAAGGAAACTATTGGCAAGTGTTGAATTGTTTTGATAGTTAAAGTTTTCTTCTTCAATCCGCTGCATCTCGAGTCTAAAATTTCCTCCCTTAACGTAAATTAGTATAGAATATTACTTATAATTAAAAGAAAGAAGAAAAGAAGGGAACCATTGAATTTTCTTCAAAGTCTAGATTGTGGTTCTCTCTAACTTTCCATGAGGTTTTGCTCCAGTCTGTACTAGTAGGTAAACTCATTTTGATTGGCTTTGTGAACAAAGAATTTGATCCAACAATTAGGCAATTGGGTAGACAGATGCCTCTCTCCATCAAAGTAATAATCAATAGAAAGAAAGACTAGGTCAATTGCTATCATGTGTAAGATACGGATGGATCTTATAGATGTCTTGTTATTTGCTATCATTGACTTTGAAATATTCTAAAGCATAATATACATTACATATGCAAATAATTTAATAAAAGTTATCATTTGACAATGGTTTCTATCAACCCTTTGGGTGCGTTTGGTACGCAGACGGGACGGAACGGGACGGGGCGGGACGGGACGGGACGGGAACGAAGGTGTAATTTTTGAAAAAGACATGGGGTATATTTGTCTTAAAATGGTAAAACATTGTGTTCCACAGACGTGGAACAAACCCGTTCCAGGGGGTGGAGGTGGGACGCAAAAACACCCAAAATCTGTCCCGTGGAACAACCCGTTCCACCCATTTTTGGCGCACCAAACGCGGGACGGAACGCCTCGTCCCGTTCCGTCCCGTCCCGTCCCGTCCCGTCCCACGTACCAAACGCACAACCAACGGGGTTTCTGCAACTGTCATTTCCACCGACGGAGTTTTGATTTCCATTGAACTCTAGCTCATTGAACTGGACATTATGATGTTTACGTTTTGTCAAGTAGTTTATTGAAAAGAAAGAGGCTCTTCTAAATTATAATAATTTTTGTTATTTATGTACGTCTGTGCGTGAATAATTTTAAATCCTCGTGAAGAAAATTCCAATGCACCTTGTATTAAACAAAAAATTTAAATATTTGACCAGTTCAGTAAAAAGAAAGAGGTGTAGTTTAAAGACTCTTGCTCACGTCCCTACGTTAATTAGCGATTGATAGTTTTGTGGGTCAACAACTTAAACTTGTATAAGATAACCTAATTATGCACCTTGTATTAAACAAAGATTTGATGCAAACTTGTTCAACAAATACGCAAACTTATTCAACAAATTGACAGGAAAACTAAGCATGTTATTGTTAGAATTTGGAATTTGAATCAGTGATTTTGTGTAAGCTAAGATTAATACTGAGTCTTCAACAAATCAGTTTACAATTTATGCTTCAACAACTCTTAAATTGTGAACTGATTTCACACCAAGGATATCTCTCAGATGATTAAACTGATCTTTTGCCCGAGTCTTTGTAAGGATATCAGCAACTTCTCATTTGTGGGACAATGAACTAAATCAATCACTCGTTGTTGCAGTGCTTTCTTAATGAAATGATACCTTCCATTTATATGCTTGGGTTTCCGATGAAAAATGGGATTCTTAGTGATGCATGACTGAAGTTTTATCACATTTCAGTGTAGCATCAGTTTCGGTTAAAAAATTCAAAGACCAAAATCCTCGTTAACAGAATTTATTCACATTAAAAGACACACTTTCGGTTAAAAAAAAAGAAGTTATTTTTCACCTAAATTATAGGAGTCTAAGCCCCGGTTTGGGGTTGAGGTGATTTTAAAAAAAGCTCCTATGAAAAAAAGCTGGAAGTGTTTTTGGTGTTTGGTAAACTTAAAAAAAAAGGCTTATTTTGGAAGCTGCTGTGAGAATAAGCTGAAATCAAAAGAAAAAGCTGAAGCTGCAATTTGTAGCTTTGGAAAACTAGCTTTTTTTCAAAGCACACAGAACTACAGTGCTCCTTTAATGAAAAGACCCATTATCAGACTGCTTTTTTTTCCAAAAGCACTTTTACAAAAAAGTTTACCAAACACTCTGCTGATTTATTTCACAGCCGCTTATTCTCACAGCACAGCCGCTTATTCTCACAGCAGCTTTTTTTCAAAGCACAGCAATACCAAACCAGCCCACAGGTGACAAAATTCTATATATACTAAAACCCAAACTCAGGTGGTACTGTTCATGAACAGTGAAAGTAACAGTGTTCTTCCATTTTGACCCCTGCTTTTTTTTTGTTATTCAACTTTGCCCTATTGCTTTGCTGTCAAATGAATAGCAGTTTTGTGAGAAGGTGCTCGAGGGCTCTTCCATTTTCTTCCGTCGCTTTTCCCTTTCTCTTCCTCTCTGTTTCTGTGTTTTTCTCCCTGCGTCAATCTTTCGTGTTTCCCTGCTTCTCTCCGCCTCCTCCTCCGCCCAAGAACCGCTGATCAATCTGGTTTCTTTGGCTTCTTCCGATGGCGGCTAAGATTTCGTCATCGAGGAGATGAATGATGGAGGTCAATCGGATCTTGAATATGATTTCTACCGCGAGACTTTGCCCTTCATCATACGTGTTTTTCTGATTTCCATCTCTCTTCTCTCTCTCGCACTCCCTTTTTTCCTTCTCCAGCTTTTGCATATTTCCGGTCTCCGTTATCAACGTCCGTTTGCTAAATTTTCTCAATCCTGTGAATCTATTCGCATGTTTGTCTTTTTTTTCATCTGCGATTTCCTGGTTGTGGGCGGAATTTTGGCCGATTTCCACCCTTTTGGGTGCATCCTGTCTTCAGATCACTGCGGAATCGATCTTTTTTAGCTAAGGTGTGTTTTATAATGATTGTATTTCAGTTTTATTTTGAATTTTTGCTAATTTGGATGAAACCCTAACGATTCGTTTTGTTGTGAGTTGTGGTGCTTTGTTAGGGCTTTCCCAGCTAAAAGAGTATAAATTTCCCAGAAACTTGATGAACTCAGAGAAAGCAGTTGCAGCAGCCGTGACTTCTATTTTTTTTCTCTCTTGAAAATGGTATGAACTCTGATCACTCTGTCTCAATCAAATCTTACAAAGTTTTCAGCTTTTTCCTATTTTAATTTCATGGTTACTATTCTTTAATAACTTAATCTCCAATTTTCGTTTGTATTTTCATCTGGGAGGAGTTCTTGAATGATAATTAATCAATGTTAGTAGAATGTTAATTATTAACTTTATGTTTAAGCATGGACATTTGTGAATTTCCAGGTTTACAGTTTTGTAGATTTCGTTTTGCTGTCAGTTGTGGTGCTTTGTTGGGGCTTTCCCGGCTAAAAGAATACTTTGCGTTTTGGTTGCTCAATTAATAAATCTGAGATTTGCTAGCACCTGTGATGCTGCTGTTATATTTTGGGTACGTTTTCTGTCCTCCTGCTTTTTCCAGTTTGCAGATGCATTGATAATTGTTGGATTAGAATGGATTTGTATTTATTGGGAAGAAATGAGAAGAAGAAGAAGAAATTGAAAGGGTAAAGCTTCATATTTTTGTATATAATTAGTTGAAGAATGAGAAAATTACTTGGTAAAGATTTGAGCTTTAGCTACTGCATGCAGATTCAGCTTTCCTTTGCATTTGAATGAGTTGGAAAGTGAGTGGATAAGTTGACTGAATTCGCCTTTTGAATATGTTTGAAATGAGTTGGAAACTAAGTAGAAAAATGTTAGAGAGAGAAACAGAGAATGTGATTTGATAATTGGTAATATGATCAATCCTTGGGGACATATATATTATATCAAATTAGATTAGAATTTTTTGATAAAATAAAACAATTAATACATATTGGAAATAGGTATTAAAAAGTTTAAGTCTCACATTACATCGATTAGAATGGCTTTTCTAGATGCTTAAATGCTTTTGCTGAAGAGTGTTTTGTGTTTCTACTGCCGATAACCAAATGTTATAATGTATACCTTAATATATATTCTATGCTGGTAAACAAAGAGGTTTTTCGTTAGAAATATTAGTTGCTATTTTCGAGTTGCTCCATTTCTTTCAAAGTTTATTTCCTTAAAGGTGTATGAAACAGCAGGTTATTATGGTTCTGATGCTTCTAAAATTTATGAATATAAGTTTCATTTGGCTGTTTGTTTTGCAGGTTTCATTTTTGCACAGTAAAGGACATATGCAACACCTTCCACGATTTTAGAACACTTGAAGGTGAGACCTAAGAAATAAAATAGTGGTTTGAAAAGTTGTGATGGCATGTTAATTTCCTTTTTTGTGAACTAATTTTAAAGCATATTTACCTATTTATTTTTCCATATTTTGTTTACATTTGATTTATGATAGATTACGCACATACTTAACGTGTTTGCATAAATTTAATGCTTTAAGCTTACACCTTAACAAATACCTATGAAATCTGCAGTATTATCTAATTGAATTGGTTAGTTTTGATTTGCATTTTGTTAATTTATATATTTGTAATAGTTACTCTGTTGAAATTTTAGTGTATCACTTTCTGTCAACACTCTGCTTCTTTTTCTTACTATGTTTTGTGTTTAAATAGCATGAACATACTAAAAACCTGTTAATTACAAACTATCCATTACAAGTTTGTACTGCCTTTTTTCTTCTTTTACGTCAAGTAGTTTTAAGACCTGCAGCAACGCGCGGACACTATTGCTAGTATTAGCTAAAAGACAAATAGAGACAAAAAAGGGAGGTATCAAACCTGTGACCAAGTCACCAACGGTGGCTCCGATGACGCTACACCAACTCATTTACTAGTTTATATAATTGAATAATTTATCTCCACACCCACATAATGTGGACCACATTTGTTTTAAGGTATAACTGGAATATAAAGTTTATACAAAAACTAATGAGTGAAGAGATAAAATTATTGGGTTTAAATAAAAAAAATTTAATCAAGTCTTCCCTAAAAAGATTGATCTGATTTAAAAGTTGTTTGTCACAGTCCGTCCCGAGATTTTATTCTCGAGGTTGTGAAACGACGAAACTGCCCTGGCGGTTACTAAGGTATGGGTGTGACATATTATGAATAATATATATATTATTCCCTAAGTTTTGGAAAAATTGGAATTTGCTTAAAGGATATGTGTATATTTGTGTGGTTAGGGAATTAAAGAGTGGAATTGTTTTGAGGGACCACACACACACGGGGGACACCCTGTCCCTTTCCCCGTGCCCTCTATCTCTCTCCCCTTCTCAGTTCTTCCTCTCTCCCTCTCGACTCGTACGGACGAGGCACCAAAACCTTCCAACCTTCATGGATTGACGTCAAAAAGGTAAGTTTGTGAATCCTTGCAAGCTTGTGAGTTCATTGGTGCAATTTTTAGAACTTGGAACCCTCGATATCACGTGAAATCCGAAGCCCATTTTGAGATCACTATTCATGCACACGTGAGTTGTTGGATTTCAGGGAATTCTAAGCTTATAGTGAGCTTAGTGAGGTCCTAAGGAAGCTCGAAGTGCTTAGTTTGAAGGTTTTGGACATCGAGATCATTGAGTTCAAAGTTGGTCGGTTTTCTTGGAATTTTTCCAATGAGATTTCGTTATTTTTAGAGCCTTAAAGTAGTGTAACGGGATTCTACATGCTTAGGGCTTCATTTTGATATAAAATACGTGAAAAATGGTTGAGAAATGACGGAGAACAAGGAGATTGAAAAATCTCTAGTTTTCCGGCCACCGGAAAAACCAGTCCGACGAGCCCAAGGTAGGAGACGCGCGTGGGGGGGGGGGCCGCGTGACAAGCCCAAATTTTTTTCTACAAATATGCTGACGTTCGTGACGTCGAATAGGTCACTGTGGTATATTCATATACCCAAATTGAACATCGTATGAGAAGTTATTACGAATTGTCGGTTATGTGCTTTAAATAACGTTGTTTTAGTTGTTTCGCATATAGGTGATACCTATCCCGAGGACAAGCGCATCCAGGGACGTTACGGGGGCTACGACCCTTCGACTTATGAGTGAGTGGGCAGTATTTCTGTTTATACTTATATACTATTGATATTTTTTCCAGAAATTGAGTTTAAATGAAAGTATGTTTTAAAATCCCATGCATGCATATTATGAGATATATGAATTGATAATTGATGCATATATATATGTGAATTGGTGCTGTGGACGCACAGGTGAGTATCAAGTGAGTTTATATGGTTTATATGAATTAATGATGATGTGATTTGTGTTGAGAGCTCATAACCTGCACTTCCTGGTGTTAGTGCTTATATTATTCACTGCACCGCACGCACACCTTGGATCCAAGTAGGTGCATGTCGTACAGACCATGAGAGGGTTCCGACATACTAGTCGTATAGATCACTAGAGGTGGTTCCGACTAGTAGGTGACCTTAGATTATGCGCGCAGATGATGGATGAGAGAAGCACTAGAGCGTATTCTTACACCATTCTTGTTGTACAAACTACTTCAGGTAGTTCCGACTTATGTGCAGAGTAGTGCCGTACAGGTCACCGTGGTGACTCCGGTTGGTTGGATATTAAGCTAGAATTAACCGTACAGGACCAACTGCAGGGTCTCTGGTTGATTCATTATGTCACCTGTTATATTGATGCATCCATATTCTGTCATTGTCATTTATAGCGTGGCATACTTGTTGGATTTTGATAAGATTGATGTTTTGAGAGATATGAACCAATATTATGCTATTATGTTATTTTCTGGGAAAGTATACAGGTTTTACAGTGAGGGGTTAAAATTGTTTTAAATGAAATGTTTTAAAAAAGCTTTGGTTTTACTGACCCGCTCAATTTTGTTTTGTGCCCCTCCAGGTTCTAGTTAGCGGTTGGTGGCTCACGAGGTTTTTCTTCGGCATTCTGACAGACTTCCTGCATGTATGACTCACATGCGGGTGTTGTAATTTAATTATAGTCCTACTTGACTGCACCTAGTAATTATGCTCTGAAATTGTGTACTGCACACTTAAACTCACTCTAGCATGTTAGTTGGATATTATTGCTAGTAGTTGGTTTTTATTCCTTCGTATTTCCCATATCTTTTGCTTCCGCATCGCACTTTTGGTTACGCCACGCTCACGTGACGGCCAGCACGCCTTGATTCTAGGATCGGGGTGTGTCATTGTTCGTCTATATTTGTGATATTCCATTTCAAAATTTATTATTTATTATTTGTATTTTGAATTTCAACGTGTGTTTGATTTGCAAAGATAAATAAAAAATTAATATAACTAATTAGATTTTGAACACCAATCAGGGAGCATAATCGAATACCTAAAAATAGCAAGGAAACGGCTTCTTCCTTCCACAACCAGAGTTCCAAAAATTTCCAAAGAAAGTAAATCCGTTAGCAATTTAGAGAAATTGGAGGACCAAATCGTATTAAATTTGAGTTAAATGAGCGAAGGTACACCAATTAAATGAGATACTAAACACATTTTGAATCTATGAAATAAAAGAACAATCATGTTAAGACCCCCAAGATGGTGTCCGGAGCACAAAATTATATGTTAATAATGGTAAATCCAAATCCAAAGCTCCAACCTTTTAACCCAAAATGAAAACAAAAAGCATGGAACATATATTTCAGTTTTATTATTAAATTTTCTAAATCCTAAATTTGAATGTGTTGTAATGATAATACCACCAACTAACGGTGGCAATCTGACCATCGCTATGCATGTCATGTCGACTCTATGCAACTGAATATATTAAATTTAAGCAGCCCCACAGAGTCTCCTAAGCATCAACAAACCATTAACATTATTTCCTACCCCCCCAAAGAGATTCCAAGTCTTAATGGTTACATTCATTAGTGAAGACTCAAGAACTCAGGCACATCGACTACAACTTGTAAAAGTTATGCAAGTCTTAAGCAGCTTGAATCATTAAATTTGAGTAGGAAAAAGCTCTCTGTTACTTGCTCTGCTAGCTGGGAAGTGTACCCAAATTGGACACTATCAGCAGCATCAACCCATTTCACACACTCCCGCTTCCAAAACACACTATAAAACTTACATGATGATAGGTTAAAATTCAGATATTTGACCTTAATGACACATAAGAATAAGAGAAAGTACAGGGATCAAATAGATGCTTTATTTCTCTCTGTCTCACCCTGTTCAAATTATTTTGCTACTGAAATCAAAAGTACTAAGTTCTTCAAACAGAACAAAGTAAAAAAGAAGTCCAAGTCAAAACGTGGAAAATCTGAAGCAAAGAGTGTAATATGAGAAAATTAAAATTCATAACCCATTTTAAAAATCACTCCGGACCTCAAAAATGTAAAAAGTAATTAACACTATCAAATAATCCGGAACATACTAAAAAGTCAGTAGTTACTGTGAAAATCAACCCCTCGAGCTCATTTAATTAGTGTGATGAAGATTGACCAAAGTAACAGTTGTTGCACCATATATTTGGTTTACTTCAACTTGGATCATTTTCTTATGCAAGATTCGTTGCTTAATTTAAATATATAATCAAACATCCCTCCCTATTTAAAAGCTTGTGGTGCCAACTATTTCATTTGACCGAAAATTATATGTCTAAATACTCACGGCCTGCTTGCTTGATAGCCATTTTTTCTATCTCTGTGTTTTTCAAAATCACTCAATCATTTTGGTCCCAATTCTAAAATAGAAAAATGGCAAGAAAAGGGCTTTTTGCAAAAGCATAAGTACATACCAATTCGGCAGTGAATCCTCGTGATTCCTCCTGGGACCTTGATGAGATTATTGCTAGTGATCTGAAGATAGAAAGCTTGAATTAGGGTGGCTTATTTTCTGAGTGCACAGAGTGACAAAAGGGTAAAACAGCATAACACAAAACATATTATTGTATGCAACGGAGTACCTACTGCTAAATAAGAGCTACGCTTTAGAAGTAAAAAGTTGAAATTGTTTGCCTTGAGCACAGAGGGCTTCCAAGGCTGCAAAGAAAATGCCCAAAAAACGAAAAAATCAGGGTCTCCTGAAACTGAAAACAAAACCAATTAAACACATTAATTGGAATAGAAACAAAACCCCTAAAATCACAAAAAAGTAAATTTGAATAGAAAACCCATTAATTGTTCATATTTCTCAGCCCGAGACATGTCTGTGTGTGTGTGTGTGTGTGTGTGTCCCGGGCTGAGATTATATAGGTAGATACATTATATCCAACCTTGAAGAATAACTGCAGAGTAGCTAGGCCAATACAACATGGTAATCAATGCAATTTACTCAGCTCCTAGCTAGCCTCATATTGTTCATCTTCATCTTCAGCTGTGCCAATCAAATCTGATTCTTGATAGAACGTATATGTGTGTGTATGTATGTATGTGTGTGTGTGTGTGTATATATATATATATATATATATATATATATAAAATATGCATTTTTGAAGTATATAGTTATCCTCATTTGGTTACCCTGATTTCATAGTGTCCATTATTGTTAAGACTTGGAACTTGGAAGCCCATTTCCTACAACCAATTTCAAAACATGCACAACAATTTTGCACGCTTGATTTCTGAAAAATAATTTGTAACTAAGCTAGTAGAACTTTGGAAATTTATCTTGCAACCTAATCTATTGTCCTAACAACCATAATGCAGAGAAATTTGTGGTGACTTGGAACAAATTAAGTAGTGGAAAAATAATCATGTACATTATTTTTTTCAATTCATGCTTCAGTGCAGTTGGCTCTGTATGCATGGGTTTCTGTTTGTCTGGTGCTTCACCAAATTTGGTTGATCAAATTAAGGTGCCACTATTATTAGTAGGAGAAGATGCCCAGAGCATCAAGTTAGGAACATGATATGGTAAGTCCTAGAATTATCCATATAATACACAAACGGATAACCCTGCAGGCCAACTTGGTTTTTAGTTGTTTCTGTTGCAAAACTTATTAATCTACCTTAATTAGCATGGAAGCAATAGAGTTGAAGACAAAATACGTAAATTTAAAACCATTTTTGAAGTTAAAGTTGAAATAAAAGAAACCAATTTTCCATTGAATATGAAGGCATGTAAATAAGAAATTGAAAACAAACCTGTAACTTCGTTTCTTCAAAGGCAATGAGGAAAAGAAACGGCAGAAAAAAAAAAACAACACAGAAAGGAAACACAATCTAAAACCCCTAATTTATAATGCAGAGAGTCCGAACAGTGAAGAAATCAATTGAAAATTATAACATGGCTAGTCCAACAGTAACCTAAGGAATTGAACACCCTGTAATGCTATTTTCTTCCAAATCTATAACAAAAAATGCATGTATAAACACGGTAGAAATTTGCGAAAACCCACGACACAACCTAACTAATCACCTGTATGGGGGAACAACCTGCTAATACCCTTAATGGCCAAAGCCAACACAATGTCCTATAATTTCCTCATACTTCATTTTTCTTTTACAATTTACAAATGCAAAATTTGGATGCTGCAATGGAAGATCATGCTACAAATTCAAACGCAAAAATCCAAACTAAACACAAAATCAAGGGTAAATTACATAGTAACCCATCCGGTTTGAGGTCTATTGCAATCTTATACAACATATTTAAAACATTTCACTTTCATACCTCAAGTACTATTTTATTTCAATTTCATACAACTGTTACATTTTCCATCCATGGATCTGTTAAATGCTGATGTGGCTGCCACATATATGCCACGTGGCTGCCAAATGTCTGCCACGTGGAAAATAAAATAATTTTTTATTTTTTTAAAAAAAAAACCTATCTGCCACTTTTTTTTTCTCTCTTTCTTCTTCTTCTTCTTCTTCTTCTGGGTTCGGTCCTTTTTTTTTTTTTTTTTTTTTTTTCTTCTTCTTTCTCTTCTTCCT